GAATAAGCTTTACGTCTATTTACATAATCTGACTATAGTAAAATAGTAGAAAAACGCTTTGATACTAATGATGAACCAAATTTTCCTTTAATGCTGCTTTATAAACAACGTAAGCACGTGCTTCGAGACTTTCGTTTATTTGCCAATAAAGGAACATTGATTTTTGATTTTGCCTAAGACAAATCAGGCAAAACTCAAATTGTCTACGACGGTGGTAGGCATATCTCTTTTTGCCGGCAATTCAAGTTTTGCCTAGGCAATTCGGGTCTTGCCGGTAACATATATATCCTTAGGTACACTGAGAAAAAAAAATTTTAATTTTATGGTGATTTTTCCTACGAAAATTACTGTGCTGACGACCGTAATCGTGTGATAAAGCAAAATTATGCGACTTTTTTACCTAACTTAGTAACTTTTTACCGTGAAGCACAGTAAAACCGTTGGGTGCCTAACAAAATTTCCTCCATCGCTCACATATTTAAACATATGATTTCAGTGTGGCATCAAATGTTCAACTCATCTTTACTCGGAAATAAAATCATGAAATGATTTTTTTTAATTGCACACATTTCCGATTTCTTACATGTAATAAAAGTATTAATCCGATAACCTAAAACATCATTCATGCAAAAATAATTCCAATCTAAAAACATGCCACTCGCATATTCAGTCAAAGAAAGTCTGTTATGAATTTTCGAAATTAACATTTTTTTTCGTACAAGATTGCTTAATCAGGTCTCGAGAACACGTGTATGAATTTTAAGGTTATAATATTAAATCAAAAATATTTGGAGAGTTATTTTGCTTAAAATGGAAGCAATGGTGTCAGTGTGTTTTACTAAGTAACTTTCTAAATATTTTTTATTTAATATTACGACCTGAAAACTCATGCACGTGCTGTTGAGACCTAATTGAACAATGTTGTAAAAACAAAATGATAAATACGAAAATTCATAACAGAATTTCTTGCATCGAATGTATGTGTGGCATATTTTATGGTTGGAATTATTTTTGCATGGAAGGTAATGTTTTGGATTATTGGATCAATACTCTTCTTATATAGGCACAATGAGAATAGGGCAATTTTTTAATAATCGTTTCATGATTTCATCTCCAAGTATGGACGAGTTAAATGTATGATACCACACTGCAATAATCTATCTATGTATGTAATCGATGGGAACAAGTTTTGTTGGGTGCTTGACGATTTTTACTATGTATCACGGTAAAAATTGACTAAGTTACATACGAAAGTCCCGTGATCTTGCTTCGTCCCACGATTACTATCAGCACGGTAATAATTGTAGGGAAAGTCACGATAAAATTTATGGTTTTTCTCTTTCAGTGTAGTGATGTATAAGAACGTGTCTTCTTTGACTCTATGTACTTTCGACGATCTCTGATGCTACAGCAATTAGCACTATTGATTGTACAGCAATATTGATTCCTATTTCTATACCCATCCATCACTTTCCCCTTTTCTAATTCTCATTCTTTACGGATAATTTTGTATTTAAACGTACTTAATTGTGCGGTCCAAAATCAGCTTTCAAGCAATATAAGTTTAAGCTTTACGTGTAAGGAGGTAGATTCTCAATGCAGTTGCTCAAGTATACAGGTACACTACTATGTACGAGCTTATGTGCTCAAATAGGTACTTATACGTGCTAATGTGTGCGTTTATGTGTATATGCACGCATGTATGCGCAAGCATGCTAGCACACACACAAACGCTTACGAGCACACTTTCATATACTACAAATATCGTGGAAAAAGAAATTTACGTATGAACTTTATGGTTAAAATAATCATGGACTTCATTTTTTTCCCAACAGGTCGTGCGAAGAAAACTTGATTTCGAGTCATCTGTTGTGGCTCTTAAGACCTTGATTTATATAAGTGACTCACAGCTCGTATGAGTGCTCTTATACATTGTGATCTTTGAAGAGCCATAATGGATGGCTCTAAATCTCGTTTTCCTCGTACGTTGGATTGAAAAGTTGTGTATATTAACATGCGAGAGATTACGTGACTAATACACGCCTGTATTGACACACTCACTGGTGCTTGTATACGAACTAAGATGCGTGCGTCAATGACGTTCTCCCCCTATTAGTATTGTAATGTACTTTTTAAATGTTAGAGCCTTTAACAGCTAAGTTGGTAAACAATTATAGTGGTATTAAGTGATTAGCTTCTTATTAAACTGCTAAGGACTTCTTCAAATTTTTAAAATTTTTTATTGTTACTTTATTTGTGTATATGTTACGTGTAAAGTGAGAAATTAGTCAGAAATGATGTACTTCGAGAAATGCACAGAGATTTTTGTGCAAAGTGCAAAAATGAGTAAACTGGTTTATGCTAAGTTAAAACTACCAAACTTTGCCCAAATGGATATCGTACAAACTACGGTTTGAATGATGTGGTTGTTCAAAGTGTGTGGATTAATTCAGAATTAACACAGAAATGAGTATATTGTTATTATTGATGTACAAATGCATTTGAAGTAAGACTTTTAAAAGCTATACGACTGTATTATTATCAATGTATTATTATTTTAATCATATGAATAATTTATTATATAGAGTCTACTGTATATTATAAGGATTTATTATCATGAAAACAAAGTTGTATAGCTCTTAACAGTTTTTGTTACAAAAGAATCAAATCATAAATTTTTAAGGCAAAAAAATGATTTTATTAACAAAGATTTCTGTTTTAATTTTTTTTAAAAGTGAGTTTAGGCCAGTCTTTGAAAAAGTATGTTTTTAAAGGGCTTTTGACCATCAAATCTTTTGTTTGTGCATGTAGGCTGAGATACCTGCATGAAGATTCAAACAGATTTCATGGCCGTTTGGCGAGTAATTTAGGGAAAGAAATTAATTAATGAATATAGTCTTCTTTACATTCTAAACATGTTTTTGTTTATAGCGTTCATTTGTTTATTTAAATAGAAGTATTTGATTGTGTAAAAACAGCAATCAAAATTGGCATGGTAACGAGTTTAATTATAAAAAATGACATGTTACAGACTTTAGTCAGTCACTTGACAACCACTTATTGAAAATGTAAACCTTCGTCTTATTGTTCAAGCTAATTAATAAATTGAGCTTAAGTTATTCCATTTACTTTTATTTTTTTTAATTTCATTATAACAGTTTTAGTTCTAATAGATGTACATATTAATAATACAAATTCACTCGTATTTGTGTCTATCTTTTACTAACCCACACCTTTTAAACAGCTGCATCATTCGTACCACAGAATGTACAATATTCTTTTGTAAAAAGTCCGGTAATTTTAACTTGGCCCAAAAAAGCCCGTTCATTTCGCACTTTCCACAAAAATTTCTGTGCATTTTCCGAACTACATAATTTCGGACTTTACACGGTAAAATCTATATAGTTCTACAAGCGAGCTAAAGGATCAGTCGTTGTTACCGAGATTTAAATTTAAAAAAAAAAAAAACTTTGTTCTAAATATTTATAGATCAGTTGAAAAAAAATTTAGTTTTAAATACTTATTGACAACCCTTTCCTTTTAAAGTATACAGTAAAGTATACTGTAAAAAGACAATAGTTTATTATTTTTTGTAAAATCAATTATATTTGGACCAATATTTTATTTTACGTACTCTATTAACGCTGAGCCCAAATTCTTCAAATACTCTATAACATGCATCTTTGTCTTGTCTTCAGATTTTTAATAGTAAGACTTTAACGAACCTTTTTTTTAGTGAGCACGCTTTATGCAGTACACTATATAGAGGTTTGTTTTAAAAACGCATTTGTGCATACATGGGATAAACGAGGTAAGAGATTCATTAATAGAGTTCTAATATTAAACTGATGAATTTGGACCTATTACCACCATGCTTATAAATTTTCTTAAGGTTTTTAGTAAAAGTAACGCAACAACAATTTAAATTTTTCTATAATATACACTCATACCACTCAACTTCATACCCTTGTTTTCTTTTCATATCCTAGGATGAATCATTGAAGGTGCAATGTGATCTAAATATCGAATAACCAACAATGTTTCCTTGTATTGATACTACTCCAAATTTAAGTGAAAATACTACTTCTTCAGACAGTACCCAATTAAAAGTGTATTGCCTGTAGTCTCCAGCACAGGGTGTTTACTGCTGCTTGATCCTGACTGCCAAACTACTCATCAGTGACACCAACTTCAGCGGTGGTATCGGATTCCAGCAAAAGCACTGCCTCACTACGCCTAGAGTCTCCAATCCAGGGTTCTACTCTCCGTGCATTAATCTCCACGGCCAATTCGACCTGGGAGATAATTCTCGCCCCCCCCCCGACTCCCTTTCATTGTTCTAAGCCGCCCACCCCAATAGGCCGCTTTTAACAAAGCATAGTCTCAGTATGCCATCATCGGGAATTTTGAAGGGTCTTTCAACTATATAGAAGGCAATGATTAAGTTGATTACGTTCAGCTTTACTGTTCCAATGAATAAAGTTGTTTTACCTCCAATTCTGTGCAGTTTTATCGTCTTGTATCTTTCAATAGAGAAGTTTATAGGGATGCTTCCACCCCTCATGAGGTTTTCATAGAATTCTGAGTCTATTATCAAATTGATAAGGCTAGGGCCTGAGTAAAAGATTAGGTATGGCACAAACCCTTTCTGGAGTTTCAACTCAAGAGCATTAATTCGTGCAGGGTTGGGGTGCGATCCGTCAAGTGCGTTGGGGTTTTGGAGGCGCTCAGGGCATCTCAGGCTCATAATTCGAGCACCAAAAGTGTTTCCCTGGTTGGCTCACTCCTTATACTGACGTTTTCTGCACTCCTGTACAATGTGTATCCTTTGTTTCTGCAGTAGGTGCATGTGGTGCATTTCTCGGCAAGGTGCCCTCGATTGCCACAAGTAGCGCAACCCAGGTAGATATTTATTTGTGACTGCTGCTATTCTTAGTTGTTGGTTAAGAGCCCTGGAACGTTGTATATTTGGAAAATTATTCCTTTTTCCGGGCAGTTACCTGCTGTAAGGCTCCTCTTGGAATTGTAGCAAAACGATGGTACCCTAGTGCTATGGAGGGCCGTGTGGCCCATGATAGAACATAGTTAACAAAGTACCGGTGGTATTTCACTGGAGGCATTTTCGTGACTTGATGATGCTGCTCCTCAGAACCGTCGGCAGTGTTGGGTTTAATGCTTGTTGGAGGTACCGTATTCCGGTTACTTCTATCTGCCATACGGCCTGCCTCCTTGCACAATTGACAAACCGTGCCGAGCTTGCAATTTATATCCACTTGTTTATTAGAATTATAAAGGCTACAGTAGGAGACGTGGTGCCTTTTCTCAAGTTGAGTGACACTTTGATCATCCTGGGCATGTAAGGCACATCTTTTCTGTAGGGCATTTTCTACTTTTATGGCCCTTTTTATGAAGTTATTTAATCTTTCTTTATATACCGTACTTAATTTAATTTTTATTTCTAATTAGAGCCCGTGTCTAAAATATTCTCCAGCACTTTACTCAAGAGATGTGATATACAGAGCGGGAACGACTGCGTCGCCGTTGTCCTTTAGTTCCTTTCCAATATCTGGTGCTGAAGGTCGTTGATGCGGTTCACGTATATCACTACAGTTTCACCAGGCCTTTGGAATTCGTTCTCCATTTCACCCAAGAGTTGATGGATTATCTTGGTGGGGGCACAGATTATTGTGACGTGGGTTTTTAGTTCCTCGGTGGTATCGAAGGTAAGCCTCTGAATTGCCGCTCGTGCTTATCCATTTAATTTACTACGAGCGAGTTTGGTTAAATTTTGGTCATTTGCTTCACTTACTGTATCTTTGGCTTCATCGTATTTCTTCTAAGAACATATTGAGAGGTATGTTGCTTCCACTGAATTCCAGGACTACTCTAAGGGCACCTTTTAGTATAACTGCTTGCGCCATACTTTCTTGCTGCAAGGGCGAGTTCCCATCGGCTTCAGTGTCGTCGTCCGATTCTGAGTCAGAGAATTCCTAATTTCCTTTGCAGGGGATAGAGTTTTTAAGAAGTTCTTTTTCAGAGCCATGCTCGGCCAATGGGTTTAAAGTGAGCTTATCTTTTTCTGGGTCGATATAGTTGTCGTCTGTCGTACCCGTAGGCTGTGGCTTGATTTCGAATAAAGAATGTAATAATCCAATAGTTATACTTGTAGTGGTAGAAACATCAGAATTCGCTGATCCCCGTAGGTTTATGACCGGTGTTCTATTAAGAACAGCTCTTGCAGATGGATTATTTTATTTCTTACTTGGCATGGAAATGCCTGCTTGGTCCACGTACTGGTCAACCTGGCATTTTAGCTCTTCGTTACCGTTAGTTCGCTGGCAAGTAACGCGTTGATTTCTCATGGAAGGAAAGGGTTTTATTGACTTTCCTCATCCATTCACGGCTGATTCAGGGCCACTATTCTGTCGTCACATATTTTATGATTCACCAGTTCATCCACTTGGAACACGTAGCAGTCAGCGAGTTACTTTTCGTACTCCCATCTATATGCTGAGAAAGGGTTCCTTCAACTAGAGCGTACGCGGCTGCTCTCACTCTTTGAGGAAAAGTTGTGGCAACTGCTTCAAATGTAATGGGTTCTGCGCATTCACAGGGTATCTCTATATACTTCAAGGTTGGAACTTTGTGACCGATCGATTGGACTTCTTTCCTTATTATTCTGTGTCAAAAAATGTACTCGCTTTTCCAAGTATTTTCAAAGCTTGAGTTAGTCTGACGGTTGATGATTTAAGGCTATGGCAGCTCAGGAATTATACAAATTTTTTTAAAAATAGAGGGCTTTAAAGTTTGATTTGAAAGGTATGATTTAGCTCTTATTGGTGAATTTTTCTTATTTTGGTGTACAGAGTTGGGTGCAGGAACAGGAAGGATGAGAACTGGCTTTTAATTGTCTCTTTCCAGACGAGATTGTGATTTTCGGAAAAGTTTGGCAGTTTTCTTCTTCTCTTCTTTTTTCTTTCTGCTTTTGTCTTTCCTGCGAGGTAGTGGCAAAACACGTTTGCGATTGACCCTATTGAAGGATGGAATTAGCTTTTTTAATAATTAAATTTCTATTAGTGCGAAAAAAATTATGGTAGTAGTTATTCACTTTCTAAATAAATTTATATAGTCTTAGACTCCAAATTGTGTCAGCTAATGGCCCGAAAAAAATGGTAAATGTGGTCAAAAATGGTTTTCCGCATTTAGACAAAAACTGAAGAGTCAGACAAAAAGTTGTATCATTAAAAAAGATGCGTAATTTCACTACAAAGAAAATGAGCTCAGGGGAATAGAATTAGCCCAGCCATTTTTTCGCAATTTGCCAAAAAGTGTTCTTTTCGATCGTGTTTTAAAAATCTATACCTCACATTCATTTACATATTTAGACTTGAAAATTAAATGCAAGGTAGATCATGTGACCCTTACCATCCACACTTAATTTCAAGAAAATCAGTTGTAAACTTTTTGCAAACCGCTGCAAAAAGGAAAAAATTGTCCCTCCATAAAAAAGTTGGAAGTTGCTGATTTTTCAACATATTCCTATTTTTCAAACGGCATTGTACTTGTCGATAGTTATTTTACAACCTCCCAAAACGTCGTTCTGTTTGACATTCCGGAAGTACGCGAAAACTCAATGTCAAAAAGCAGCTATTTTCCGTGGATGCAGCGGCGTGATGAGCCGCCAACGTAGGCCACGCCCACTCTCTCCATCATGCCTCCAGGATTTCCGAGCGATCGCGTTCAAAATGAAAACGCGCATCAAAAATAACGATATCTTGGGAACCACGTAAGATAAATTGATGTTTTTTAAAAGTTATACTTCTATAGGCGCGTTATGCGTGGGGGTATATCAACGATTTCAAATTTTGACCTTGAGAAAAAGTGTGACGAAAGTAGATTTTGCTTTATTCTACGCCTTCACCTCGCCCCCCCCCCCACAGAAATTTTTATTTAATGTGCAATAACTTATTTGGTTTCGTTTTAAAATTAAATAAATAAACATTTTACTTCATAATTTACTTGTTTTTTAAAAACTTGTCAGTTAGTATATTTTAGCAGAGCACCCTTCCAATTTATTAATGAATATTTATTCCTACTCATTTCATTTGTTACTTTTACAATAAATAAATAATTTCTTAAACAGTTTTTTCATATTTTTTCAAAATTTTCAAAAATTGCAATATATTTTTTGTACTGTACAAATACAATCATTAACTTCTATTGTATTTTATTTTTCCACAGTTTTTTATGCATGATTGAAGTGATTTTTTTGGACGTTCTCCACATAGTTTGTGGGACAAAGTTAAGAGAAATGACAGGAACGCTGATGTGTACAGTAAAGCTAACTATTCTTTTTCTTACGTGTATGTACTTATATACATGCTTTCAAGTATACCTTATTCCCTCTTTCTAAATTTATTCAAAATTTAACTTGTGGGTCTATTTGGAAATTTGATAGGTTTTTCTAAAAGGCATCTTTTGTACCTAAAAAATTAGGAGATTCCAACTAATCACATAAATGCCATTTGATGTAATTTTTTTATATGGTTACATATTTAATATTTATTTTTTCAAATGTATCATGTATAAAATAATAGTACAGTTAAATGAGCTGCTATATTTGTTGGTATTTTTTATGCTATTTCAAACTACGTTTGACGTTTAAATAATATCTGTCAAAAAAACCTATGTGTGATGAACGTCCTGAAGGGAAATTTACTGGCATGTAATTCTATATAAGTATTGAAGAAAACTACTTACTACAGAATAGTTTTTCTGAATGTTCTATATACAATTATATTTTGGGTATTAAATATGGACAAGAAATAAGTGTTGGATCGTACGTGATAAATGTGTGCGTAACGTTACAGATGTAATCAGCGAAGGCAGTAGAATGTTGTTCTAAAATCACCGAAAGATTCGATGAAGAGGCGCTGTCTTGGACTGGCCAGCCTACTTATACTTTTTATTGTATTGTGCCGTTATATGGTGTTTATTATCGTTAACTCATGAAATATTAAATAAAGTCACACCTAATCAACGTAGGTATACTCATTTCCATGATAAATGCACCACCTTCGTACACAATATTGTTCCATAGAAGGTATTTTATACTTAAAATTTTATTGTTTCTTATGCTATTTTATGAAAGTATAACTTCATACTTGGGTACTCAGACACTCACCATCCACTTGTTTTTAATATGGGGTAACTTTTGATAATATAAGAATTGCACATATTAAAAAATTTACTTAAATAATTGGAGGATCTGTACAATGAACGTTAATAATTCGTTGTAACTTCCCAAACAAAAAAGGTCTTTCGGCTCCCGAACAGAATTATTCAGCCTGAATGCGAAATATCGCGACGGCCCAACGGAGGCTTGTAACCATAGTGCGCTTTCGGTCCACAGGTGGCAGTCAAAGAGTTCGGCAGCCGAAGAGTTTGCCGGAGCTGGCCCTCTATCTGCCTGCTGTTGGCTGCCGTGAATATATAACGCATGTATACGTGAGCTAGTAGCACAAGGCATGTGTTTCAATTTTCACTTAGAATAGAAACAGGAAAATTAAAAATTTTTTAAAGTAGGCCTAAATGATTACAGTTTCTAAAATGTTTATTTGAGCACTATTGTCATACTCGTTTTGTAAGCCCTAAAGACTGTCTTTTTAAACTTGATTAACTTCTAATATATTTGTTTGCAAAGTAGTTCGACGTCCAATTGCTCATAAAAGGACCGGTGAGCTTATTAAGTAAACTCTTTCTTGACTAAAGTTTCCAGCAAATGTGACTGCCTGGATACTTTCGGGTGATCTTCTCTGGTCTGATGTTGAAGCTTCACACTGATCGAAAGAAAAATTACAAAGTCGGGAGCTTTGGAGCTAGTTGTAGAGATCTTTCACAACGTCTCCTGGTATAACGTCAAAAACGTTGTCGTCTCAAGCACCTTCTATTTTTTGCAGACTCAATTGTTTTGGTGATCTAAAGTGGGGAGGTTGGTTCGTGATGCTTTCCCGCTGGAGACTGTTTTTTTGGCTCAAGTTTTTTTTCCTTTATAACTGTTAGGTTCACCCAGCACAGACGTTGGAAAAAAGATCGGCGATTTCTGGTCGAATGCTTAGAGTCAAGAGGGTAATATAGAGTCGTCAGTCACCGGAGTTAACAGCCTTGCGACGAACAACTCCGCTCGTGACGACTGCCAGTGAATGACTGACTTGGTTTAATAGTGGCCGTCTTTAGTTAACATAGTCTCTTAGTCGACGAATCGTTTCCGGAAATGGTAGTAAAAATGTATTCGTTAGCAAGGTAGCTTCAATTTAGATGGCCCTTGAAAGAACCAATGAGATTGATGGTTGAGTAGGAAACGAAACTTATAATGGCTCTGAA